CAAGCAAATTTTATGTGACAGACTGAGCTAGCCAATGGCAGATAGATAGTTTTCTGAATGAATCTGTGATTCTGTGAGCAACTCAATCTACCTGCCTGCTTTGCTTGATTTTGGGTAAAAGTTGGTCTTTTTTTATAAAAAAAATCAATATTTATATAAATATTTATAATATTTACATACAAGCCATTCCCAGCCAGTCACATGGCCACCAAGCCACACCTACAAATTAGGCCACACCCACAGAACCAGTTAGTGGTCCCTGGGATCTAAAATTATGAGTTTGGTGGTCCCTGAGGTCTAAAAGATTGTCGACCCCTGTTATAGAATAACTATTAGCAACTTTAATCTGCATAGCTAATAGTAAAAAATTAATTGCAATAATTCAGCAGTATCTGAGGATTTTATAATACAGTGTGACAGCTATTTTTTGTAGTGACATGGTTACCCATTTCCCATAGTAAAATGAAGATACTGTCATGCCAGATTGGTAATGTGTAAAAGTCTGCCTTTTAAGATCACCAAAAAGCTGCAATTAATGCTGACTGCTATGGAGTTGGTTATTCATAGATTTCCAAGTCCAATTCAGAATGCTGGTTTTCACCTTAAAACCTCTGTAATTTGGCTTCTATTCTTTTTAAGATTGCCTTCTTATGTGTGAAACATATATATGTATTCCAACACATCTGTCAGTGGTATTTCATTACTTACATCTCACTGTCAAATCAGTGCTCATACTAATGATCTTCTGAAAAATAATAAAAATAACTTTTTAGGAAGCATTTGGAGGAGGAGTGTTTGCTACCTATACTATTGTAATGTATTATTACTGTATTGATACATTAGTTTTTAGACCATGAAAAAACTATTAAAGGAGGAAATCAATTTGTTTGAGCTGTGGAGTTGGAGAAGGCTTGGACAGCAAAGGTGACAAGACCATATAAAACCAGGCATTTCACTGGAAGGCAAAATCATAAATTATAAATTATTTTGGCCATGTCATGCAATTAAACTAACTGGAAAAGCCAGATATGCTCAAAATGGTTAGTGATAAAAAAGAGGCTGCCTGAAAACATGTTGACTAGGTGTTGGTTCACTGTGTTTCATTAAGTCCGGGGTCAATGCAGCTGTCTAACATGAGATTTTGGAGCGCTTCATGCTTCCTTCTGCAGACGAGCTTTATGGGGATGCTGACTTCATTTTCCAGCAGGACTTGGCACCTGCCCACACTGCCAAAAGCACCAAAACCTGGTTCAATGACCGTGGGATTATTGTGCTTGATTGGCCAGCAAACTTGCCGCTATTGAAGTATCCTGGTCTTCCATAACACCTCAGCAGTGCCACAGGCTGATAGCTTCCATGCCATGCCGCATTGAGGCAGTAATTGCTGCAAAAGGGGCCTAAACCAAGTACTGAGTACATATACATTTTCAGAGGTCCACTATTGTTCTATGTACAATCCTTGTTTTATTGATTGCATGTAATATTCTAATTTTCTGAGATTGTGGATTTGGGGTTTTCATGAGCTGTAAGCCATAATCATCACAATTATGACAAATCATGGCTTGAACTATCTTGCTTTGCATGTAATGAGTCTATCTCATATATTAGTTTCACCTTTTATGTTGCATTACTGAAATAAATGAACTTTTGCACGATGTTCTAATTTTTCGAGTTTTACCTGTAAGGTAGAAAAATATGGAGAGAGGTGGTCCATACAATCACTGAGAATCTGACACAATTGAACAGATATCATCATCTTAATTGTAATGTTTATTTCCAGTATTTATATTCTCCTGCAATCCTAATAGATTCTGGGCATATAGAGGCATGATAAAGCATGCAATACAAAAATCCAAGCATAATGGAAAACAAATAAGGTACTGAAAAACACTAAAAGCATGGTCAAGAAGATGGTTTGGTGGAGGTCTGGTTTTCTCCTTGGTAGTTCCTTAATTGATGTATTTGTTTTCCTGCTTCATTGTTAGCCTGCTTTCTCTTTTATTCCAATTTTTATACTTCTTTTTTTTCTAAATAATTTTATTGAACAGTATAAGTAAAAGAAAAAGTTTACAAATTACCATACAAAATATAGAAATGAAAAATATGAAGAAAAACTTAACTTATTTACTTGCATATCAAATTTGTATGGCCATCCATCTCACAGGTAGTG